CTCGTAGATGACGTCAGAGTTTGGCTTTTTTCCCAAGAAGTCTTGGAAGGGTCTTAAGCATAGAAATGATATAAACATTTATGTTTAGAAGATCAGGGTGTGAAAAGTGAAGTGAAGAAAGAACAGAAAAATAATGAGATCTGTGTAGGGGGCTGTCGCAGTGGTCCAGGTAAGGGCTGATGGCGACCTAGAATGGGGCGGTGGGCAGAGGGAGGGATGACAGATTCATGAGATATTCAGGAGAACAAACAGGGCTTGCTGAGGACTGGCTGTGAGATGTGGGGGTGAGGTGTCCAGGAGAACTTCCAGCTTTCCAGCTTGAGCAAGTGGGTGGATGGCGGTGGCAGAGAAGAGCTGTGGACATCGGAGGCGGAGCTGGGCACCTAGGTTCGGACCTGAGGTTGACTGTGAGACATCTAAAGCAGTTACACCTGCAGGTCTTGAGCCCAGAAGCAACAGTCAAACCAGTAAGTGAGTCTACCTGGTGGTGGGGAAGAGTGTGCAGCAGAGTGAGAAAAGAGGCCTGGGCGGCTCTGAGAAATCAGGGTAGCAGCAGGGCCTGGGGCAGAGTGACCAGGAGCTCTGAGCCTGGAAAATCAGAACCACGAAACCCAAAGGGTTCTTTGCTGAACCTTGGGAGGCTTGTGGCTCTGGCCCCACCTTTCCTGGCCAAGCACGATGCTCGGCATGGGCACTTCCCAGCTGAGACAGTGCCCCCTTCCCCACAACGCCTCCCTCCTTGGCAAACTCCAAGGTATCCTTCAGACCCAGCTCAGGGGCCCCTCCTCCTAGCTGAAGACTTCCCCGGGTTAGGCACATGCTCTGCAGTTTAACAACCTGGGTTTGAATCCCAGCGTTGCCACTTGATGGCTGTGTGACTTTGGCCAGGATACTTAACCTCACTTTCCTCATCTATGCAATGGAAATAATAATAGTACCTATGTCACTGGGCTGTTTGAAGATGAATATGCAAAGTGCTTGGCAGAGAACCTAGCACACAGTAAGCACTAAATAAATGTTACTATTATTACCATCCCACCCACCTTGGGACAGTTAGTCATGTCTTCCACCTTCTACCTCCTCCACTTAGGAACCGTTTGCAGGTCTGTGCGTCTCCCTACCTCTCCCTACCCCTTCCCAATTTGTGGGGTTATCTGGTAGGCAGGGCCCAGTGCTAAATGAAAATGCCGGACCCCTTGTTCAAAATTATTAAGGATTTCAAGATGGCGACAGCAGAGTACTAAACCAAGCATGGGATCCTTCTTCATGGAGGGTCCTGTGCAACCACAGACTCATGCAACCAACCCTGTCCTTGCCCGTAGCCAGCCCTGGGGCTAGGCCTGGCCCAGGTAGGTGTCAACCTCCATGCAACAGAGTAAAACTGACAGCCAACACTTGAGAGAGGGTTTTGTGATTTCCATCTGGAATTTCATTTTATCCTTCCCGCAGAGAAGTAACATTGATCCCATTTTCTAGTCGAGGACACTGAGGTTCAAAGACGGGGTGTGCCTTCCAGCTGGCATGTGAACATAGGCTGGTTGGCTCGAAAGCACACCTAGTGCCCTCTGGCTCCACAGGGAGGTCAGGAGAACCTGACCCCAAGGGATGAACTTCATCAACAAAGCCCAGAGAGAGGGAGCTGGAGGGATTGAGACTGGCCCCCTCCCTCCTGGGAGGAGCAACGTAAACAACCAGCTCCCTGGATACCAAGGCTGCTGCAAAGGGAAAGGGGTAGGAGAGGGCAAAAGGTCACTCTTGAGAAGGTTTTGCCTGAGGGCCATGGACCCCAGACCACACTCTTTGGAAATCAGACCCTGCCTCCTCTGCTCAAAACCACTTAGGGGCTACCCTGGGGCACAGGATAAGTCCCAAGTCTTTAGTATCCTGCTAGGACTAGGGAGTTCTGGTGTGGTTGTGCCAACGCCTGCCCACTCTCTACCCTCTCTCCACTGCTGTCCTCCCCCACCACACCAGCCCTGTTCCCACCGTCACCAAGGCTGTGGCACACGCTGTTCCCTTTCCTCATCTCTTCTTTGCCTCCTCAACTCCTTGTCACCCTAGGTTCCCTGAATCCCTCCTCTGAACACACATCACCTGCTCTGGGCCCTCTCCTGGCTAGAATGTAGGCTCCTGGAGGCAGGGGCTCCTGGCTCACAGCACTTGGTACATCAGGTATCTGAATGCATCCCCCTGCAAGAGGCAGGGGGCCCTGCACTCTCTGCCCTTCTCTCTACTCCTCCCCAACCATCCTTTTCCTGTCCAGGTATCTTTCGCCCAAGGTGTGACCAGCTCAAACTTGCAGAGGGAAGAGACTCATCACACAGTATGCAGCACTGGCCTGGGTGCTGTACATCCAGTTAGTACGTTTAATCCCTTGAGAACCTTCCAGATGGAGGTGGGACAGGCTGAGTGTAAATGATTCCTATTTTCCAGGGGTGTCTGAGACCACCTGCCTGGAACGGTAAAAGAGTCTGGAAGTGGAGGATGTGGCATTTGAACCCAGGTCTGTCTGCTGCCTAGATACTCAGTGTCCTCTCTGGCCCTGTGACTCACTGTTTCCAGCCAGCTCACCTCCAGTCAGAGAGCGACTATTTCCCACCCATGCCCTCAGTTCACACACGCCCCAGGCAGTACAGCTCCTCTGTTGGGTCAGCAAAACACCAGTGTAGAGGCCAGCACAGGAGTCACCCCTCCCCTGGGTCAACAAAATGCCATTGTGGAAGAAATACCCCCCAGGTCAGCCCAACACTAATGGGGGAGACACCACCATTGTCAGCAAAGTGCAGGTACAGGAAGCATACTATGCACCCCCAGTCAGCAAAAGGCCAGTGTGAGAGGCAATTTCCTGTACCCCTGTCTGCCCGGGCCCATGACATGGGCTGGGGGTGCACAGACAGAGTCCTCCGAGGGGGTGCTCATGGGGTGTGGGAAGGCAGCGTAGCTGGAGCTGCTACTGCTGCCTGGGGGAGAAGGCTGCATGTGGCTGGCGAGTGGGGCAGCCTAGGGTGAGAGTTCTCGCATGGCACTAATGAAATCAACCACCAGCCTGCCCCCCCTCCCCAAGGCTCCCCAGGGACCCTCCAGGCTCCAGCTGATGCAATGCCCAGGCCAGATAATTGTTTTCTTCCCTCCTTAAAGGGCCAGATGCTGTTGCAGCTGCAGACATTATCTCGACCCCTGACAGACCTCATAGAGCTTGGTACCTGGTTAGGGGTAGGGGGAGCCCAGAAAGGAATAGCTCAGCCCTGAGTTCTGCAGAGTAAAATCCAATTAATGTCCAGAGGCCAGAAGTGTCTGTGAGCAAGAAGGGAGGGAAAGATAATAAGACAGAGACAGTGCTTGGCTCAGGAGAACACATGCCCCAAGGGAGGGACCTTGGTCCCTGCTGGGTCCTCAGCACCTGACTCCTGCCTGCCTGTCCCATCAAGTCCTTGGCACAAGAGTTGCTCCTGAGGTCAGCAGTTACCTTACTGAGCTCCCCTGAGTTCCAGGGACTGTGCTAAGCGGCTCAAATCCACCATTTTATTTACTCCTCCCAACAGACCTAGAAGGTGGGTTTGTTTTACTGAAGGAGGCTCAGAGAAAGGAAGTGATTTCCTTAATAGTGCAGAGCAAGAAAGTGGCACAGCCTGGGTTTGAAGCCAAGTTTGCCCAACTCTGGGCTTCATATCCTGCAGAGGGTCAGGTAGGGTTCAAACCCTGGGGCTGGAGATCCCTAAGCCAAGTAGCCTGGCACAGAGGGCACGGAAGGGGTCTGTGGCTCCTGAACAGGCTCTGAAAGGCATGGTGCTTGGCTTAAACACAGGTTTCACAGACCCCCTTCCCTAACCCCTGCCCCATTAGGCTGCTCACATACCCCCAGAGACAGTTGGCAGCTGCCTGTTTATAGACTAATTGGTGGTGGCTGGCAGCAACTGTGGGGCTGGCTAGTTAACCCCTTGGTGACCAGGCCTAGCCCAGAAAGCCCTCTCCCCACCACTTCAGGCCCCAAACCCAAGGACTCTAGACTTAAGAAGTCATCATGGGCAGAGGACAGGACCAAAGGGACAGCAGCTTTTCTCGTCACACCCAGACAACAACCCCAGGAGCAGGGGTTGGATGCTGACATTCACCTAGGCTCCCCAGCTCCATAGGACCACATCCGAACAGCCCCCAGGTGGCAGTGCCAGCCAGCACCCCTTGTTCTCTGGCCTTGGGTATGGCACTGCCCACCTCATCCAGAACCACAGGAGCCATGAGCCCTCTCGGGGTTTCCGGGCCCAGCGTACTGGGAAGAAACCCATTCCTCAAGGCTGGGCTGTCCAGAGAAAGTGATCGGGGCATGAGTCCGGCAGCCTGGAGGCCAGCCAGTGCAGACACCTCCCCTGAATGAGAGGGTGCCCAGGTTGCTCACCAAGGGTCTTGCCAAGCTTCCCCCAACCCTGGGCTCCCCACCATGGGTTGACCAACAGTCTCTCCCAGCTTCCCAGAGGCCCCCTCTTTCCACCCTAGGGCTGGAGTGAGCATCACCTCTTCTTTCACAGAGTGGGGGGTTCTTCTAGGCACCACAATGGTGTCTCATTGGGAGGAAAGAGTGGCCGCTTGTCAACCAGGGCACAGGCAGGAGAGAGGAAGGCAGGCTGCCTTCCAGCTCTCTTTCCAGGAGGAATTTTAAGCACTTTCCAAAAATGCCATGCGAGGCAATGCCTTTGAAGACCAGGACCCCAGATGCTCTGAGCTTCAGCAAAACACTCAAGACTCTGGAGCCCTCTACCCCATTTTCCAGGCTCCCCCAAACATCCCACGTTCCCTCGTATACCTTAGCCCCCACCCCAGAGCCATCACACACACTGTGCTCATCTTCCCTCATGCCCCAGCTCCCGCCCCCCAGACTCTGCACGCTCAGATCCCTACGTGGCGCCTGCCGGCCGGAGCTCCCCTCCCCTCTCCGGGTGGTCCCTCAGACCTCCGCAGCTCTCTTCCTACGTCCGCTCCTAGGCAAACTAGGCCTACCGACTTACCTGGGGTGGGGCCAGGGGCCAGATAGGGAGGGGTCTCCGTTGACCGAGGCGGCTCTGCAAGGCGGGGCAGGTGCTGCCCCTGGACCCCGCCCCGCGGACCCGGTGGTAGGCGCGGCCCGGTCGCGGGCGGGCGGTGGACTCCAATGAGGTAGGGGCGCGGGGCGGGGAGGGGCGGCGAGAGAAGCTCACGGGGGCATCGCCCGTCACCGGGCCGGGCAGCTCTGCTCCGTCCGCCTGCGCTGCCGGCTCAGCAGCCGCCACGATTCTCAGCCGCCGCGGGGTGCAAAGCACAAGCCCCGGCTGGCGGGAGGTGAAGAGGGAGGCGGGGCCTGCTGGGGGCGGGGCAGGAGGCAGGAGGGGCCGTGATGTGGGCGGGGCCAGGGGCTGGGTCTTTTATTGTGGGCGGGGCCTGGTGGAAACTGGAGAGCGTGGGTTTGCCAGAGTGGGGACGGCCTACACAGATAAGGCCTCGAAGGGGGTGGGGTCTAGAAGATGCTCCAAACTTCTCCACATTCCTAGAACCTTCCTGTCTTGTACCTTACCTCCGCTCCCCAACCTCTCTTTGTTCTTTCTTAGCCTTCCTTTGGGGCGCCTGAATGGCACCACAGTACCCCTGTTTCACCCTGGACCAGATCAAGGAATGTCAGATGATGAAGGGGCAAATGACTCACAAACATCAAATCCAATATATAGATGGAAAAACTGAAGCCCAGAAAGGAAGACTTGCCCAAGTGCCTGCTATGAGGAAAAAGGCTTTCTGGTGTCGCTTCCAGACAAAGGGTAAAGTTGTAGGGTTTCCTGCTTTGAGGCCCAGGTTAACCTCGCTCCCCTCCCCTCTCTTCTTCCCCTAGAGCAGTGTTTTTCACCTTGAGGAGATTTTTGCCCCCATCTCCACTTCTAGGAGCATCTGGAAATGTTTAGAGACATCTTTGGTTTTCACAGCTGGGGGTGTTGCTACTAGCATCCAGTGAGAAGAGATGAGGCATGCTGCTAAACATCCTGCAATGCACACAGCAGCCCCATGCCCAAAAGTTATCAGGCTGAAGCATCAATGATGCCAAGGCTGAGAAGCCCTGCTCTGGGACCTGGTATTCACCTAGATGATCTTCCAAGTGGGCTCCTTGAACCCTGGGTTCCCTGGCAGCCAGGAACTTGAGGATGCTGTATAAAGTGTCTCCTAGGGTGCCCCTATCATACCATTTTATTGATTTTTATAGAGAGGGCAAGGGAGGGAGAGAAACATCAATGTGTGGTTGCCTCTAGCATGCTCCCTATTGGGGACCTGGCCCACAACCCAGGCATGTGCCCTGAGTAGTAACTAGGGACCTTTTGGTTCACAGGCCAGCACTCAGTCCACTGAGCCACCCCAGTCTGGGGCCCGGCTTGCCATATTTATCCTCACTCAGCTGGTCAATTCCACTTCTGGCCCCAGTGTTCTTAATTTCACTCATTTACAGAGGGGACGATATTATTAGTATTTGCCTTCCTAATTGTTTGCTGGAAGCAGGCAACACAAGTAGTATTCCCTGCTGAATGCATGGATTAAAATGTGAGTGGGGAGTGGAGAGGTGTGGGGAAAGGGGAATGATTGGGATTAAATGACCCTCCTGAGATGGCTAGCTCTATCTTCTACATACTTCTCACTGTCTCACCCTCATCTGGTCTGTGAGAAAGGAAAACTGAGACCCAACAACGTGGAGAGCCTGAGGCTGGGTCCCACAGCTGCCCAGCGGTGGTGCCAGGACTCACACCTCTATTCACGTATTAACCAAACTTTTGTTATCGTCTAATCCACATCAGGCCTAGAAATAGGCCTGTGTTGTAGAATGATTGCTCTGGAGCAGCAAGGAGGATTAGATTAGAGGAGAATGGGGCCAGGGAATAGCTGGGACGATGGTGGGGGTAAGGATGTGGAGAGCCTGAGAGCAGAGCCTGTGAAGATTAGAGAGAAGGGAGGAGCCAAGATCCTCTGTGCTTCTCCCAGGCATCCTATCACAGACACATGTAAACCAGGGGCTGCCTTTGGAATCGGGGTCCCTTTGCACACCTGATGAAAACTTGGACTTTCTCTCTGCAGAAATGTGCTCATGGACACTTCCCATGTAATTTCAAGGGCTCCAAATCTCCATATTGGCTTCCAGAAGCATTGGGGGTGGGGGGTAGTGGTAGAGGTTGATTCTTAAGTGCATATAGAAGAGTAAACATTCAGGAATTTAAAAATCTTAAAAAAAGAGTAATGGCCAAGGATTCACCTTACCTGATATTAAGGTATATCATGAAGTCAACATATTGAAAGCAGTATGACAGTGAAGCAGGCGAGGGGAATCAGTGGGGAGAACAGAAGTGGCCAGCCGCACAAAGGGGTGCCGTGCGTGATGAAGACAGCACTTCAGGTGGGGCTGGGGCGGGGGGGGGGGCGGTGCGGAAATAGAGGCCTTTTGACAAATGGACGAAACAGCTGGCAAGTCATTTGGAGGAAATAAAAGAAAGCTGTGTCTTTTTTCTACAGGGAAATAATTCCCGGTGGAGTGTATACTTAAACAACACCATAATGTACCAGAAGAAAACATTCTCAATGTTTTAATAATCTCGGAAATGAAAGACTTTCTTCTAAGCATAATGAAATCTAGAAGCCAAAGGGAGAACATCAATAAATATGACTCTAAAAACGTCCAGAGAGAAGTGATAACACTCAGGTTTGAAAGACAAATGACAAACTCAGAGGATGTAAACCCCAGCTGACGTCCACTCTTGTCCCCTCAGGCCCACCAATCCTTCTCCCAGGCCAAGAAAGGGTCAAGCTGGAGGGACGATTGTGGGGACCGAGGCTGAGCACATCTCTGCGGCTTCTCCCCGGGCACCCCTGCCAGCGCCCACCTGTTCAGGGGCAAGGAAGTCCCGGAAATCCCCGCTAGGCCATCTGGCTCCGCAGCAGGTGCCTTCGCGCCGCGGAGCCCGAGTCCGCCCCAAGGCTGCTCGCCACTTCTCTCGTGTGGCCATCCTGGGAACTGCAGTCCTCGGTTTCAGCTCGTGCAGCTTCCCTGCGTGAAGGCGGCAATTTTTTTCTTAAAATAAAAAACACCCGAATTTTTGAGGGAGCGAAAAATGTTCTAGGCGTTGTGCTAAACACTTAAGGTAGAGTATTTCATCTGATACTCAAAACGGCTCTCCTAGGCAGGTCCATCTGACAAGGAAAAGGGGTTTGAAAAAAGTGACTTGTCCAATCCCTAAGTGGTGGCCTCAGGGTTCAATGTCTGACTCCTGGTCCCATTCTTAATGTAAGAAAGCCAAACCCTTGGGGGAACTCAAAAATTTTTTGAGGCTAATCTTGATCCAGGCCTTGTCCCAGGTGTGGGAGATTCCGAAGCCATTAGGGGACACAGGTAGAGAGAAGCAATTGTGACACGGTGAATCCTGGAGAATGCAGAGGACCAGTTAACCCCAGGAAGGGGTGAGGGCAGCAGGGAGGAATCCCGGAGGTGTGCTTGAAGCTTCATCGGGTGGGGCTTGAGGAGCGGGTGAAGGAGCCTGCCGCACTCACAAGCCCTGAAGGAGGAAAAGGGGCTGTGTGGCCGGAGCGGTGGTCTATGCGCCTTATGGCTGTGGTAAGTTGGAAATGAGGCCGGACAAGTACACCAGGACCAAGCGCAAATTTGGGCACAGAGGGTTTTGAGCATAAAGATTCTGAGTGCTTTTTCTCTGTTTCAGTTCACTTGGTCTAGTGGCCACCTTTGCTGTCAACCCAACCTGCTTCTTTCCCTCCAGATGCTCCCCATTTGGGTTCAAGGTACCAGTTGCCTAAGCCAGAAACCTGGGAGTCTGCATCGAGACCTTCCTTGTCCTGGCCTCTATCCTGTTAATCATCAGGGTCTGCCCAGTCCACCTCCTACACATTCCCCAGGTTCACTTACTGCTCTCCATTCAGACGGCCTCCCTTTCACCATTTCCGAACTTTTACACAAGAGAAATCCTTCTAAAGCAGATTTGATCACGACTCCTCCCCTATTAAAAACCCTTTTCATTGATCCATTCAACAAATATTGAGCAAGCATTTGTCACATGTTGAGTACTGATGAGCAAAGCATAGACTTTAAAGCCTGTTGGAGTGACAAATATCAAATGATCCCCTCCTCAAATAACGTGCAATTACAAACCGGGGTTCTTGCCATAGGGGGGCCTGGCCCAGCAAGGGAGGTTGCAGAATGCTCCTCAAGGTATCCCATCTGAAGTTCGAATAGCAGTCAACCAGATCGAAGAGTTGAGGATTGGGTAAGAGCTTATGAAAAAGTCCTAAAGGTGCTTTTCTGAGTGTTTCCTCACCTGTATAATGGGGATATTTATAGTTCTGAGGATTAAATGAGTTAATAGGTATAAAGCCCTTAGAGCAGGTCCTGGGACATAATAAAATTTTCCATAAGTGCTAGCTATAATAACAATTATTATTATTATTTATTAATTTTTTAAAGTAGAGAACCATTGAAGGCTTATCAGCAAAGGAGTTAAATGACAAAGTAGGATTTTTTTTAAAGGGTGACTGTGAGTTTGTTTTTTTTTAAAGATTTTATTTATTTATTTTTAGAGAGGGAAGGGAGGGAGATAGAGAGAGAAACATCAATGTGCGGTTGCTGGGGGTTTTGGCCTGCAACCCAGGAATGTACCCTGGCTGGGAATTGAACCTGGGACAATTTGGTTCCCAGCCCGCACTCAATCCACTGAGCTACGCCAGCCAGGGCTGAAGTAGGATTTTTCACAGGTTGCTTTGGCTGCAGTGAGGAGCAGGGGTAGGAACAAGGAAAGACTAGATTCAGGGGAACTAATGAGGAGACTCTTACAGGGGTCCATTAAGAGCTGTGGGGCATTTACACAAAGGAGGCAGAGAGGATAACATTGGCCTTGGTGTCTGATTGGTGGTGGGAGGCTGTAGGAGGTGGGGAGGGGACTCCCAGCGTTTTGTCCCCAGCAGCAGGGTGGGTGGTGATGTTCTTCACCAGGTCCGGGAAGCCTGGGGGAGGACCAGGCCTGAGGGAGATGCTGAGTCCAGTCTTGGACATGTTCAGATACAGGAACTGAGGGACCTCCTGGGTGAGAGCCTGCAGAGGCAGCTGGTTAGGTCTCGAGTTCAGAGGAAAACTTATGGCTGCAGAGATTAAATTGAGATTGTTGGCAAATACATGAACATTGGACCTCAATCATCTGATCTGTGAAATGATAAGAGAAAGGAGATAGCTAAATGACTTTTTAAGGTTTCTTCTGGCTCCAAAATGTGTAGGTGTCC